GGAGGGGGAGGGGGACTGCTGCCACGGCTGATCCCCAAACTGTGTCCTCAGTCCGGGCAATGGTTGGAAGGGGCCAGGCGCGGGGGGTGGTGACGGACAGGGCCCCGCAACTGAATGGCGCAGTGGCCGTGGCCAGGTCTGGCACGCGGGCTGGGAGTTTGAGGCCCCTCGTTTAGAGAGTGAATTCTCAGACCGAGCGTCCTGCCGCCACAGGCCATGAGACAGCTCAGGCAGGCGCTGCGCCGTGCTGCCGGGGTCTCTGCAGAGCTGTGCCCCGAGCTGGCGGGCCTAGGAGCGCGGTCGGGACCAAGGCACATCCTCCCTTCTTGTGGGGAGACCAGCTCTTGCATTTGAGGCATTGTTTGAGGAGAGGGCACCTAGTCTAGCAGTCTCCAAATGGGAGACTCGACTGCAGACTGGGATCCAGAGGTCGGGGTCACCCTTATGTCGCAGACTGGGCCTTGACGCCACTGAATGCAGGAAGCAGACTGCTGCCCCTCCAGACATGAAACGCACAGAAATTGGGCATGAAGAGCAGCGCTGCCCCAGCCCTGCACTGCTGGGACAGCCCTTTGCTCACAGAACCATTCCACTCTGAGCAGAACTGGAGTCGGCACACAGGGCTGCATATGAAACTCTTCGTTTTCTTCACTGGTCCCAGGCTCCCTCATTAACGCCAGGCCTACTCCTGCCCACAGCTTGCTGCCAGGACAGCGACATCTCGCTCAAAGGGATTGTCTGCTGTTGATTCCATTTCCGGTGGCTCCGAGAGCTGGCCCCCGCTGTCTGCAGTGCCGACGGGGATGGCAGCCAAGGCCGGCAGGACAGCTAACCCCCACCCATCAGAGCAGATCTGTCCCACTCAGGCCCCCCACCCCTACAGCTGCTCTTCTCCTTTTACAGCATGATCTGTCTCCTGCCACTTGTCCCTGGGACTCTGCAACTGGAGCCAAGCGTGGCAAATGCCGCATTCAGACAGGGACTAGCTGCCTCTTGGCTGGAGACCCAGAGGGTCTGTTTCTCCTGAAGATCTCACTCTCCTCCTGCAGGGAATCCTCTGAACGGGCATTCATGCTAAAATTCGACACTCTCCGCAGGGGGCTGAACAAAGACCCCAGCTATCTTACCCATTACAAAGATAGCTTCCCCAATTATCACCTCTCATACTATTAACTCACAGACATCTACCCTTCCTCACCTCTAATATCATTAACTCACTGGCATTCACCTTCCTTCCCCCAAACACACATCCCCCTTCTGTTCTGTAATGTGATTTGTCCTTTTCATGTGTGTTCATTTTTTTTAAATTGTATCCTTTGGTATATATGGTTGTGACTATTTTCTTCCATTATTTGATCTGAGGAAGTGGGTCTGGCCCACAAAAGCTCATCATCTAATAAACCATCTTGTTAGTCTTTAAAGTGCTACATAGTCCTGTATTTTGTTTCCTCCTGCAAGGGCACAATGGCGGGGGAGGGGGGGGCAGGGAAATCAAAGAGGTAGGTACCTACCATGCAACTGCTCTGTGCTGCCCGGGGCCAGCCCCCTCTGCCTCACACCAGCGCAATGCCCTGTGCCTCAGTTCCCAGTGACCAGCGGGAGAGGAGCCAGGCCCAGCAGTGCCATGACCCCACGAGGAAGGAAGCTGACCGAGCGCACAGCAAGATGACAATGGATCAGATCATGAGCCACGAGGAGCCAGAGGAACTCATAGACAAAGAGCTTCCGCAGCAGCAGCCCCGTCCCCCGGCCAGAGAAAGGCAACGCGATGACCTGAGCCTGCTGCCCAGCAATGTGGCGAGGGAGAGCCCATCGCTGACCCTGACCCAGGTCTCCTATAGTGGGCAGCGAGTGTCCAAGTTGGACTCCACCAGCTTTGGCTGCCCAGGCAGCAGGGCTCTGTCTACACTGCTGGGTTCTTGCGCAAGAACACCCAGAGTGTCCACACTACCCGCCTGCTCTTGCACAAGAAGATTTACAGGACGGCGTGGGAAGAGAGGGCTTCTTGCCGAAGAGCTACGCACTTTTCTAACAGGTGGAAGCTCACTTGCGCAGGAGCTCTTGTGCACGGCAGGAGCTTCTTGTGCAAGAAGGATGCACGGCAGGGGCTTCTTGTGCAAGAAGGATGCACGGCAGGGGCTCTTGTGCAAGAAAGCCCTGTGGCTAAAATGGCCGTCCATGCGCAGGAGCTCTTGTGCACGGCAGGAGCTTCTTGTGCAAGAAGGATGCACGGCAGGAGCTCTTGTGCAAGAAGGATGCACGGCAGGGGCTTCTTGTGCAAGGAGGATGCACGGCAGGGGCTTCTTGTGCAAGAAGGATGCACGGCAGGGGCT